GCCAAAAAATCATCATCTTGAGTCAAAGAACTGTCCGATTTTTCCTCCATTACTCAAGATGACTGAACACGGAATGGTCCTGCAGAAGTAATGGGTTTTATGTCTCCTACAAAAAAATATCGATATATTAGTCCATTTTTAGACAATGCTTACTCTATTTATGCGCAAAACAAGATTTTGTGTCAATTCTCTCAAGACTCACATTAAATTTAAAGAAGAATGCATGTAGAGACTACATCAGAAGAACAAAAGGGATTTAGATATGAAATATAGACAAGTTAAAAACCATCTTCGTCTTCAGATCGATAATAGGAAGAACAATAGAAGAGGAATTAGTTGACACGTTCATAGACTTACATTTTAATAGGGAATATTCCATATAACACAATATGGAATATAATTAAAATTATATGTACTGTGTACAGCGTACATCAAATTATTTTATATAATTTATGCAATGGTGCATATAAAAGTATTTCCATTTGAAATAGATTATTACCTCAAACAAGTATTTAAAACAAATAGGCCAGTCATCGATGAATAAAATTAATTACACTCCAAATTTATTATATGTTTTGTAAATATTGATTTAACTATATAATTTCTTGGGAATTTTAAAAATAGGTATCTCTAGAACAAAAGATTAATATTACTGTCATTATAATTCATCTTTAAACTAAATATTTAAATGCGTAAATGCATATTAGTGATAAGTTGTTGAACTTCCTGTTTTGTAAATTTTCTCGGAATGTATTAATAAGTTATTGTTTGATATCAGTTCAGGAATTAATCTTTATACCTGTGTTTATAAAAATTTAAAGATTAAGAACATTTACCTGGGTTGTTTTAAATTATTCTAACTGGGTGGATACGTTTTAGAAATTTTATCTAATATTACGTATAGTCGGTTCGCTATATTTACGAGGGTTTCGGATTAACAAAATTATGCTAATGACTCATTGATAACCAGTTGCAGTAAACGACTTCCCAGAAAATTAGGTAAAAATTGCATTAATGGTCATATTTTAAAATACATTAAAATAACATTAGGGTAGGTATAAATTTGTTACAATATTGCAGTTGAATTGATTCTTTGCCAGTGTTGACATTGTATGTTTGGTGGAAATATTTACAAATGCCTAGACGTGTGTTAGATGTAGATAGTCTAATTTGTAGTGTACATAAGTATTTTACGGATGAAAAAGAAAATGGCGGTCCTTTAAAATCGGTAATGTCTGTGCAACAACGCTTATGTAATGCTCTAGGAATTAGTGAAACCAAACTAAGAGGAGTATTACAAAATCGCAATAATGAACGGCCGAAAGAAGATACCGAAAAACTCGCCTATCATTGAAAACGAAAGATATTCCAAATGGAAAAAATTGAAATTCGTGATACCATTTATCGAATGCGAGCCAACAAGGAACATGTGATCTTAAATACAATTCTCTCGGAATTAAAAGATAGAAAATTTGACGAAATTGGCAGAACAAGTCTATGGCAAGTGATACATAATTTGAGTTTCAAATTTCAAAAGGAGGATAACAAAAAAGCTCTTTGTGAAAGAAGATCTGTTGTGCATAAAAGATTTAACTTTCTAAGAAAACATTCTAAATTAAAAGAAGAAAGGGCAAATTTTATATATTTAGACGAAACATGAATATTTTTTAGGGGTGCAACCAAGAGAATATGGCAAGATGATAACATAAAGTCTATCAAAAATATTGATGGAGAAGGAAAGCGACAAACAATTTTACATGCAGGGGGGAAATCGGGTTATATAGAAGGTGCTGATTTAATATTTTCATCTAAATCAAAATCAAGTGACTATCACGATAATATGAACACAGAAATGTTTGTAAAATGGTTACATGAAAAACTTCTCCCAGGTTTAAGTAAGCCCAGAGTAATTATTTTAGACAATGCACCTTACCATTCTGAAGTATTAAACAAAAGTCCAACGAATTCTTGGACTGTTAATAAAATTAAAGAATGAAACTTTGAGGGTGTACAAGGCAAAAGCTCAAAGTTTAATTATTCGAACATTCAACCTTATATTGGTTGAATTAAAGAATGGTTGACAAAGGAACATATACCATTTACACATATTTTAAAATTAGAATTATTACGCTTGGCAAATATCCACGCAAAACCAAAAACCTTTGTTGTGGATCAGATTATTGAAAGTTACGGTCATCAAGTTTTACGTCTGCCACCGTATCATTGCCAGTTTAATCCCATCAAATATATATGGGGAATAGCAAAACGATATTCATCATCACAGGCATTAACATCTTAGTAGATGTGTTGTGGTTCATAATTGGGCTTCAGCAGCTCGGACAGTTTGATTGATAATATTTCTCCACTGGTCGTGGTCATCAGTTATATGTATTGCACGATATTATGACAACCATATTGGGCCTAACGGTTATAGCGACGACGCAGTTCGGGAAACTTGGCGAAAGGCACTTTCAACGGTAACTCCAGAAGTGTGGTGCAACTGTATATTCAAGTGCGAGAAACTAATAGAAGATTGGTGGACTCGTAGGTTGGCCCTACATCTGGGGTAGGTTGTCACTACTTTTTTTTGCGCGGTCGTTCGATATTTCTTCTGCCGATTTATCTCTTTGGAGACGACACGAGTCTCCCCCATTCTCTTTATGTGGTCATTTCATTCTTTTTTTCTATTTTGTGTCCATTCATTTATACACTGTTCGTTACATTTTATTCTAATGTCTTCACTTCTCTTTCGATCTCTCAGCGTATTCTCTGTAATTCTTCTCAGTTCTCTCATCTCTGCCGTTTCCAATAGCCTTTGTTTTGTAACTGTGTCGGGTCTTGTTTTTGAGGCATAATATGTCATTATTGATCTTACACTGGCTTTATAAATTCTTGACTTCATCTCAGTGTTAATGTGTCTGTTTTGCCATATAGTGATATTAAGGCATCCTGATAGTCTATTTGCTTTTTGTACTTGATCTCTCACTTCTTTGTCAAGGTCTTCATAGCTGGACAGTAGGTATTTTATTTCTATTACTTGTTCAATAGTGATGCCATCAATTTCTGTATCTGGTTGGTTCTTTGCTGATTACTATTGTTTTAGTTTTCTAAGATGAGATTGTCATTTAAATTCTTTTGCTCTTATGTTAAATCTGTGGACCAGTCTTTGTAGACTATCTTCATTTTGGTATATCTATAGTACGTCGTCTGCGTAACAAATTATTTTTATTTCTCTGTTTCCCATTCTGTATTCTATTCCTTCATTAACGCTTTTTATTATTTCATTCATGAATAAATTTAAGAGCTTATGGCTTAATGAGTCTTATTCCGCTGCCCATTTCTATAGGTTTTGTAAGTTGTCCATCTATTCTGAGTTCCATCTTGTTCTATTGGTAAATGTTTTCAATAGTTTTTATGATATTTAAGGAAACTTATCTATTATATAGAAGATGGATAACATCTTTAAGCCTTACTCTGTCAAATGCTTTCTTTAAGTCAATCAGGCACAGAAATGCTGGTCTATTATAGACCAGCATTATACATTACAGCCATTATTATAGTCTATACATCTGTAGTTTTGCGGCTGTTTTTATTTCATTTTTTTTTAATAGTAAAATTATTTCGCTCGTTCTCTATTCTTTCAGTATTTTATTGTTTTATAATTTTATTAATTAATGTTGGTAATTGTTCTGTCGGTTAGATAGCCAACCGGGCTGGGCGGCCGGTTTCTTATTCGCTTCACTGCGAGTGATTCAGTGGATGTAAGTTCGATCCTCAGCTCGGTGTACAGAAAACAAAAAGGCTAACGCAACAGTTTAAAATTCTAGATGAATCTGCGGCTTAGACCAGAATATGCTGGTGTCTGATCGGCCTATGGTGGAGCAGTACGGCAAGAAATAAGGGCTTGCGTCTCGGTGATACTCCTCCATAGACCCCTACCGGAAAGGCGTACCGTATAAAAACCGTTATATATAGTAAACTCTTAAATATTGGGGAAATCTGCAAGAAAGACTCTAATGAGTATCAATTGTTTCGCCGAACGTTTTCGCGAAAGAGAATAAATTATAATTAGCTATCATATATTATCTATTAAAAAACATTATTGATCTTACCGTAACTTAGAATTGTTGAGTTAGGAAGTTAAAAAACTTAGCTAGTAACAACATAGTGGCGTTTTTTGTTACTACGTGCAAAAAAAGTTTTTTGTTAGCGTTGGAAATTTATGGTAGCTTTGAACTTAAAACGCAAAGGTTTACCCAGGGTTAACCGAAAAACCCAATGTAACTACATTTAAAAGGAAGTAATTCTTTGAATTGTCGGCAATAACTAAATTTTTTATTGTTAGAAAGTTTAAATGTGAGGTTCTGTTTTATCAGAAATCTGTTTTGTCAGCACATGCGTTCTACTGTGAAAAGAACTTCTCCAAGATATTCTCCATGAGCATTACCGTTTCTTAGCAGCGTGATTGTTTTTTCTACCTCTTCCAAAACCTGGCCGCTCAATCTGCGGTTCTGTTACAATGGCTCTCCTCTGATCTGAAGCTTGTCTCTAAATATTCGGCAGGCTCCAAATATTACAATTGCCTAATTTTCCTTTACAAGAATTCTTCTCTCTTTGTGTATTTACAGGCGTTTTGTCATGTTTGAAACAAGTGAGTCACCTCCTGTATCGCACATTTAAAATTTCATAGCTTTATTCTGTTGGCTTAGACTTTAAGTTTATCCAATACGTTACCCTGAAAAAAATTTGTTCTTTTTGCAAATGCCTATTTGGAAACCAGCGAGAGTTTTAAGACTGTTTTGTCAGATTTTATCATGTAGTCGTCATTTGATATAATTAGAAAATTTATAACGTTAAATTTAATTTTTTTTCAAACTTTAACCTTGCACCTTAAAAAATTGTTTTGGCACAGAGAAACTATTGACACAGTATTGACAGTATTATGACGGCGTTCGTTCGTGAAACATCTTTTTCAAAATGTAATTCTAAACAATTTTTAGATATGATGCAACCCAGTACTTCGAGGGAGTCCTGGGACTTTCCATGGCAAAACAAAATGAGGAAAAAAATACCCAAGGTGATCTCCCCGAAAGAAAAAGGCAGACACGCCGGAGAAGTCTGTTTTCTGATGTGTTTTCTACGTCTTCTTATGTTAGTAAGTAAGGAATAATGATAGAAATTTTAGTAAATAATAAAAAAACATGATATATAAAGATTGTTCGATAATTAAGTAGTCTACCTAGTAGATTTTTTCAACAAGTGCCTAGGATATTTCGCGCACCAAATTCACGAAATATCTTAGAGCATAGCGTACAGTGGGAGACGTCTGTTACCCATAGAGCAAAAAGACAAAAGAGGGAATGTAAAGGTAGTGGGGGCAAAAATATTGTTAGACAGGAAGTGCCATCTTGAGAGGCCAAATTAAACAAGGAAAGAGAGTCTTTCCTTGTTTAAGAAATCAAATTTAGTTGGGTTATGTTATTGTTTGTCCCAACTGTCACATGAAATCTTATTTATATTGAAGTTTTTTAACAATTGTTTCACATTTTAGACTGTTATCGGTAAATTTAATCAAAATTTTCTCGTCTAAAACACATTCTGAAAACTATTTTATAGGTACTGTTAATAAGTGTCAGAAAATTTATATTTGGCGCATTCGCATTTCCGGGTATGTCCGCCATTAGAGGCCACTTTTTTGGTCTCCTTTTCATAACGATTAGATTCCCTCTTTTGTCTTTTTGCTCGATGCTGTTACCTGTTTCCCGCCTACCCCCCCCCCCCCCGAGGAGACACTACTCATTGTAATTGTGATCCAAGAGGTTAAGTGGCACTGACAACTGAGCTTAGAATTATTGAGAATTTCAAGGCATCTGAGGATCGGATATTAACAAAAGTGTAACGGATGATTGGCTAGAAAACGTGTAGACTGGACTGAAAGCACGATGTGCGTAAATTTTCGACATTTATGCGATATTTTTAATGCTGATGAGACTGGATTGTTTTTTAACATTACATTAAACAGAACTTTAAAATTTAAATCGGAAAATTCCGTTGGTGGAAAATTCTTACGGTTTTAGTGGCCACTAACATGACGTTGCTTTAAAAACATCAAAAATCTACCCGCGGCCTACAAATCAAAGCAACAAAATGGGATGTCAAGCTTAAAGGGAAAAAATTCTTCTTGTTATAGACAATTGTCCTACTCATCCGGTACTGTGCTACCTTCAAAACATTGAACTTTGTGTTCTGCCAGTAAACACAACGAGTCTCCTTCAGCCCATGGACCAAAGTGTCATCAAGTGATGAAATTGGTTGCGAACAATGGCGCTATAAAACTAAACTTTCTTGGCGCTATCCTATTGATTAGTATATCCTGGGACGTGGTGACGAGCAATACGATAAAATATTCCTTCAAACACGCAGGATGGCTGGAAGATCAAGGATTGACTGAGGATGAAGATGACCTGTTAGCTGTTTGGGCCAGACAGTTTGAATTTCCTATTACCATCTATTACCTACGGACAGGAAGAGCTAACAGATTTCGAAAAAGTTAATAAAAATGTATTTACAACATCTGGACTTTCTCACGAGGACATCCTACAAGCAGTTCGTGCTTGTAGGAACCAGCTCCGACCCCTCAGCAGGCATTAGACGCTGCAAAAGTATTTCATCGGTTTTTTATCCACCATAAAGACAATGTGAGTGCTGTAGAAGATTCTATGCGTCTTCAGGTCAGTTCTGTAGAAGGGGAAAAGGAAACAGATCAAGGTGACATACTTTTTCGTTAATTTAGGCTAAATATAGGATGCAATATTTTTCCATACTTTGTTGAAAATACTATAAAGTACCATATTATTTTTTTTACTGCACAGTACACATTTTTTAATTGTACAGTCATTTTTAATACTGTATTGCATATATCATTCTTTAATAAATCCATATTGTGTACAGTGTTAATTCATTTATAATCATTTGATCAATTTTTTAAATGACAATAGGTTATTTAGTACAGTATAATTGTTATTACAGTAACTATTTTTGTTTCTCTCTCTTTTTGTATAACGATATCTCCTTATAACGATGAAAATTCCCGGCCCCTTGCATATCGCTATCGAGAAAGACGACTGTAGAAGCTTTTTCCTTCCCCGGGTTGGGGTGATACCCCCCAGAGGGAAAGCAAAATGTCAAAATTTCAATAAAATTCATGCATATAAAAAAATTCAGAGGTTTTCTACTATTTTTATCGTCATATCCTGGACTATATGCTTACATTTTACTTTTAATGTAGTACTAAAATAATTAGAACGATTTAAAATCATCGGTGTTTTGTTTTCGGTTGAAACAAGATATATGTTCTAATGTTATCTATATCTATAAAATGCAAGATATGCGACATTCATTGTTATAGTCATTATACCTGCATTATGGATTAATCGTAGAATGTGGATTAATAAATAATCTCTTAATAATAAGATGTTTATGAATAGTTATACATATTTTAAGGACACTAACATTAGATTATTATATTTACAAACTTTACGAACGTTACAAATTAAACTAATAAAAATTATTAAACAGTATTAAAAAATTATTCTATAGAATGATAAAGAAAATTCCTCTGAGTTTACATCATCTCTACGTTTCGCTATAAGATTATTACCGAACAATATTATATACTGCCCCGAAAAATTAGTAATTTATTTTAAATAAAATTAAAAAGTGTCCGGAATTAAAAATTTAAAAAAAACATCCACCAAAAACACCACCAAAGTTTCAAACCCGCCATAACTTTTCTAGCAATTCTTCCTAAATTAATTGATATAAGGTTGAATGCTCGAATAAATGAACTTTGATAATGTAAAAGGCAAATATCGAGCACAGTTGTATTAATTTAATTCATCCTGTCTCCGGCTTCTATACACCATGTAGCTTCGCCTATTTTCAAGATTTTAAAGTGTTTGTCTTTGTGTGGTGTATTGTTATGTTCCTTTTTATATTTATGACATTCCACTCTTATCGGATAGGCCGCAATTAACGAAATACCCCTGAAGATGATCTAGTGGTCGAAAGTACTTGGGCAAGATTAAATTAATACTGTGCTCGATATTTGCCTTTTACATTATCAAAGTTCTTCCTAAATTGTCCCACAAATGCTCTATGGGGGTTAAGGTCTGAATTTCCAAGAGGCCGGGATGGTACCCTAATACCTCTGTAAAGTACTGCGTTGTTACTGTAGCTATATATGGCCGAGCATTATCCTGCACTAGGAGAAAATTTTCATGTCCATATGTTCTTTCAGATATTCTTTACCGTACCTATCAGCATTAAGGTCACCTCCCCCTAACATAACATCTGTATGTGCTTTCAAAGAGATGCCGCTCCATATTAACATTGAGACTAGTGTTCTCCAGGCCTTCTTCACACTCTCTTCATAATCTCGTAAAATAAGACTTTTTCTGTAAACAGAACTGTTCTCCAATCTTCCATAGCTCATTCTGTATGCGCTCGGAAGAATTCCAAGCGTTGTCTTCGAGGAGATGCGTCCAATAAATACTTACAGCAGGTACATAAGATAATAAATTTTAAAATTCCACGAGGAAACTAAGTTCCTGTAGCTGGCTGTATACCATATATCACAAAAAAATTTTGTTTAAAATCCTTTATAAAAGGTATATAAAAATGCCTCAAACGGGCTATCACAAACACATTGCAAAACGTTTTCGGATTAAACAATCCATCATCAGTGCAAGCGGTTGTACATGCTAGTAGCCACCAAAATATATGGGTAAAAACCCTTTAAATGTTATAAATTTGAAGTTGTTTTACATTATTAGTATTTCTAATTTGTGATGGTTAAGTTACCGTTGGATAGGTAACATGGCGTCATGTTACCTATCCAACGGTAACTTAACCATCAATTAGAAATACTAATAATGTAAAACAACTTCAAATTTATAACATTTAAAGGGTTTTTACCCATATATTTTGGTGGCTACTAGCATGTACAACCGTTTGCACTGATGATGGATTGTTTAATCCGAAAACGTTTTGCAATGTGTTTGTGATAGTCCGTTTGAGGTATTTTTATATACCTTTTATAAAGGATTTTAAACAAAATAATAAATTTTGTTTGCTTAATCTTCTGTGTACGGTATCAAGTGTACTATGGTACCATGAATTTTACCGTTGTGTTGTCTTCTGTTTTGGTCTTCTTGAGTAAAAATCAGTTTCAAGTAATCTTTGTAAGGCATCGGAAATTGTACTTCGCTGTATATAACGCCCCTCACTATGCGAGTAACAGCCTGGGCTTCTTAATCTGAGGTCATTGTAAATTATTCTTTGTTATTAAAAACACTTTTTTCCAAAAGCAATAAAATACACCAAAAATGGACACAACAATTATTTTACAAGTAAATATTCGATTTATAGGGAGCACCTGAACAAAACCTTTCCTTTCAACCACAAAAACAATGACACCTTTTAACGTTAAAAAAGAATGCATAAAGGTAACTTATTGTGATAAATGTATTTAATTATACAGAGAAATTCAACAAAAAAGAATACTTTGAAATTTCACATGTCCGGTTAATTTTACAATTTTGCGGAGCAGTATATATAACATACATATATATGATACGTCAAGTTTTGGATTAGATATTGCAAACTACATAAATCGCCAAAATTGGCAACATTGCCTCGTGCTAGGTAATTGTAATTCTCCGACCCCCTTCGACACCTTAACCTTAAACTCCTAGATAGAAAACGAAAAAATGAAAAATGAAAACTATTGAGTAACACATAACAACGCAAGGGATATGCATCTACGTCCGTCGATTTTGTTTTGCTTACGTATACCCGGTTCATTTTTGATAACATAAACTCGATAAAAATACGCTGACCATTAAGGCAGTGCATTTGTATCGGTTTTTAATAATGTAAAAAAAATTATGGTTGGATTAAAAATAAAACCACATTTCTTTAAAAAGATAAAAAAAATATACTCTTATTAAAAATAAAAAAATAATTCCTAATAGAATAAGAAATAATTCTTTATGCCCTAAAGGATTCAAATATTTGACCTTTTACGGCTAAACAGTATCCCAATCTGTTGGGAATAAAAACTTCTGCGGACAGATGTAAGATTTTCTGCTGTAACAGAATTAGAGATTTCTCTTATCCGGTTTTTTCATTTATCCAAATTTTGGGCTCTAGCCTCAGGATGAGCGTATATGATGCTTTTTAAATGTCCCCAAAAATATAAGTCCATGGGTGTAAGATCTGGAGATCGCGCAGGTCACTTAATATCGCCTGTTCCACGGATAACTCGATTCGGGAAAGTATTGTTTAAGTACTCCCTAATTATTCGAGCGTTGTGAACTGAACAGTCGGCTTGGTGGAACCAAACATTCTCCAGATTTACATCAGGAAGATTGAGAATAGCGGGAAGAACATGATTATGTATTCAAGTTGCCCTCAATAAAAAATGGACCTATTATGTGGTCTCCTAAAATGCCAGTCCAGACGTTAACTTTTTGAGGACGCTTAGTTCGGTAAACAACACTTCTGTGCTGGTTTTTCCGAGCCCAATACCTCGGAATGGAAGGATTTTGTTTCACTTGAAAAGTATAAAATAATCATTATTTAACTAATTCAAACCAAATCGTATCCATATTCAGGTTTAATATGTTATTTTATAATTTTTGACAATTAGGAGTAGTTTTCACCCCTAAAACTCTTCAGCACACTTCGGTTCGATATAGATTTTGATCCTTGGGCTATCACCTACCTTCTGTTAAAATTTGAACTCAATCCATGCAGGACGAAAAAATTGCGAGGTTTTAATTTTTTTCGAGCTTCATTTCCTGAACTATTGGTTTATTGATTTTTACGCAAACAACATTGTTGCGAGCCAGATAGTTGAACGATAATTTATACAATGTCTTTCGCCAAGTTTTATATTGGTCCACTATTTCAAATGGAGTTCAAACAGACATATATTAAACTGTATGATCCGTTTTAAATTCGTTCAATCTGTATAGATATATGTGTGTGTGGGTGTATGTAGACGTACTCTAATTTTTGTTTTTTTTTTATTTCAGACCTCTAGTCTAATCTTAATTGGTATCTCAGTGTGGTCTATAGTAATAAAAACAAAACATTATCGATACTTATTTGATATAAGAGTCGATATACCTTATTTTAGTCTACCGGCAGGTATTTTGCTTCTGCCAGGATTCTGGCTAGCCTCTTATATACATAGTAATAGAAAAAGAAGACTCTATATACTTTTGGTAAGTATTTTTAAAGTTATATAGTTATTAAAACACTAAAAATATTTAGAAAAAGCTTATTTTGAAAAAGTCAAGACAGGGCATTCAAGATATCCTTTTCTTTTGATCTTTTCTCAATTCATTTTCTCTTCTAGGTAATATTAATAACGTCAGTTTATTTATTCGTGTAATATGTATTCGATGTAACTATATATAGTATGAAAGTGTGAATTATTGAAGTATACAAAGTTGCATGCAAATTTACAAGCACTTATCCATATAAAAGAGAGCCAAACACTGTGTCTCCCATAATTACCAATTCACCATCTTCCTCTCTAACAAGAATGCTGGAAAATTTATTGGATTAAGATAAGAGCCGAAATGCTAAGAGAGATACCATTCAACGATGGTCAATATACTTAGCATCCAGAAAAGTCAACTGTCTTTGGTCTATGATTTTACGGACCCTTAACGTCGTTAAAAGACAAAGAAATGGTGGTCTTTCTAGAGGCGGAAGGAGCGTTTAGTAACATCTTCTATTCGAAGACAGAAGCGCTTCTAGCCTCGTCAACAAATAGGATTATTGTATCCGCATTAAGTGAAACCACTATTAAGACAGAAGATATTGCGAAAACTGGAGAGGAATCACACTTTTAAATACTATAAATAAATTAACAGCAATAATTATAAACAACCGACTAACAAACAGTGTAGAACCAATGTTGAGGAAGGAACAAGCCGGTTTCAGACCAAACAGATCATGCGTGGACCAAATTAACACACTAAGAATAATTGTAGGACAGCCACAGGAATTCAACTCTCCTGTCTTTGTTTGCTTTGTGGACTTCAAGAGAGCTTTTGACACGCTCACACATACGGCCATATGGAAAGCACTGCAGAAAATAGGAATACCAGAAAAAATAGTAAATCTCATCAAAGAACTCTACAGTGACACAGAAAGCAAAATCCTACACAACGGCATAACATCTGACCCAATAGCTATGCTAAACGGAGTAGAGCAGGGCTGTGTTTTATCCCCCATACTATTTAACATTGTACTGGACTCCGTACTAACAAAGGTAAACTCTAATAGAGAAATTTACTGGGGATTAACAAACAGACTGGAAGACCTAGATTACGCTGATGATATATGCCTCCTAGCACATACAAAACAGGACATGCAACTCCAAGTAAACAAAGTACAAGAAGAATCCAAGAAGGTTGGTCTAGAAATAAACATCAACAAAACCAAAGAAATGCGATTTGGTACCAGAAACAACCAACCTATTATGATCAACGACCAGAAAATTGAGAGAGTAGCGGAATTTGTATATCTGGGCAGCATAATTGACTGTGATGGGGGTACAGAGCGTGATGTACATGAAAGAATAAATAAGGCTCGCAACTTATCGACGTTTCGCTACAATTGTATGTAGCTTCTTCAGGAGAACAAAGAAAAAGAAAAAGAAAAAGAAAACAAAAGACAGGAAGATGGGTAGTTAGCAACGGTAACTCAGTTACTCAACGCAACCAGAGGCGAATACTAACTACCAAGATGGGCATTTGGTCACAGTAACTCAACTACTCAACGCAGCCAGAGGTGAAAACCAAATGCCAGTACAGGGATTCACGTCCAACAGCTCAGAACACTAACGCGTCGAGAGGCGGGGAGTGAATCCGACGATTACTCCGCTACCGCTCTATTTATAGTCGCGGTGACCTGTCGTGTCGGGATGTATCGGCACACTTCGTGGCGCGAACGTTAAGAAGCGCGCGCTGGCCAATCATGTGGCTGCATCGTGGTAGCGGGACCGGACGGAGGCTCTAGACTGAGATTCCAGATGGGAGACAAGTAGTATCCTTCCTCTCGATTGATGTTATGTGGATTTTTTCGGATCTCTAGAGATTCGCGGATTTTCCTGGAATAAAAGAAGGGGCTCTTAGAAATAATATGGGTTTTTTCGAACAATATGGAATGACCGGTTTCTTGGCAGTGTTCTGCAACTGCAGAATGGGCAACTGCAGGTCTTTTCTCCCATTCTGCCGTTGCAGAACACTGCCAAGAAACCGGTCATTCCATATTGTTCGAAAAAACCCATATTATTTCTAAGAGCCCCTTCTTTTATTCCAGGAAAATCCGCGAATCTCTAGAGATCCGAAAAAATCCACATAACATCAATCGAGAGGAAGGATACTACTTGTCTCCCATCTGGAATCTCAGTCTAGAGCCTCCGTCCGGTCCCGCTACCACGATGCAGCCACATGATTGGCCAGCGCGCGCTTCTTGACGTTCGCGCCACGAAGTGTGCCGATACGCCCCGACACGACAGGTCACCGCGACTATAAATAGAGCGGTAGCGGAGTAATCGTCGGATTCACTCCTCGCCTCTCGACGCGTTAGTGTTCTGAGCTGTTGGACGTGAATCCCTGTCCTGGCATTTGGTTTTCATCTCTGGCTGCGTTGAGTAGTTGAGTTACTGTGACAAAATGCCCATCTTGGTAGTTAGTATTCGCCTCTGGTTGCGTTGAGTAACTGAGTTACCGTTGCTAACTACCCATCTTCCTGTCTTTTGTTTTCTTTTTCTTTTTCTTTGTTCTCCTGAAGAAGCTACATACAATTGTAGCGAAACGTCGAGATGAACCCACTTTTGGGTCACTCACAAATGACACGGTCCAAACCCGGAAGACGAATAAATTATAATTCTGACTGTGGCCGTGGAAGCCTACGATCTCAAGGCTCGCAACGCCTACAACATGCTTAACAACATATGGAAATCCAGGATTTACCCAACTAAAACGAAATTAAAAATCTTCAACACAAATGTAAAAGCTGTATTACTGTATGGCTGCGAAACGTGGAAGATATCAGCACCCATAGTATACCAATTACAAGTTTTCATCAATAGAGCGTTACGAAAAAACCTTCGTATATTTTGGCCTAACCAAATCTCCAATGAAAATTTATGGAACCAAAGCAACCAAGAAAATGTCATAAAGCAAATAAGGCGAAGAAAATGGAGATGGCTGGGCCACACACTCCGTAGACCGACAAATGACATTGCCAGGGCAGCGCTGGATTGGAATCCCCAAGGCCGACGGAAAGTAGGCAGACCTAAGGAAACTTGGAGAAGGACAGTACTGGACGAAGGGAGAAAAATGGGAAAATTCTGGCTTGAAATCAAAGCACTAGCCAGAAATAGAGTGCGCTAGAGACACATTTTGTGGAAGCCCTATGATCCTCTTAGGAATCTTGGGACTATATATACTATTAAGACGAGGGCAGGAAATGGTAATATATTCACTCCTGCCCAGCCATCCAGGGAATATTTCTACTGCCTATGCAGAAGACCTGACAATCGTGATCAAAATACGTTTTGCCAAAATAATTTTGAAGCTAATATAGTATTCTTCATCAGAGAGATAGAAAACTGGTGCGAGAGTAAGACCCTAATAATCAAATTTCAAAAAACATCAGTTGTTGGCGATAATAAAAGCACTACGACACTTTCTATTAAGGACTGGAGATTCCAAGTTAGGCCAAATATTTACATGTAATGTTTGACCAGCAGTAAACGTGAAATCAACATATCTAAAAGGTTAGAATAGGATAAACAGAAAGGTGCAATCTCACTTTGAAAGATGTAGGCTACTGTCTAAAAAATTTAAGTTAAACCTAAGTTACATGGTAACGAGACTCGTGATAACCTATGATTTAGTGGTTTAGTAGAACAAAACACAAAAATCAGAGGTAATTCGACTGCTTAGTTGCTTTCAAATGCCTATATGTCAAAAAAGCTATGAGAACTGTATCAACAGACTCGCTAAACTGAATTTACCACTTTTATACGTATATGTGCCGAGAAAACGTAGACAGTATAGAGACTGCTACTACTGTACTTATCCTGCTGCGGAAAATTGGTACGTTTAGTGCTTTTTAGTGCTTAATTTCCTTGCCTATATGTCTGAAATTTTCCATAATTTCACTAAAAATAAATAAAGTCTAATAGCTTGAATAGCAACGGCAACAGTACACAACCATGTCTCGCTTTTTTTAAATACTTATTTTCTCCAATATTTTCTATCAATTCGATTATAAATAAACGTGTTTCACAAATTACGTAATTATTCGATAACATTTCTATGACACATACTAATAACACAAAATTAATTTTTTAATAGGGGAGAGTGTTCCACAATCAGACACAAAATAGATTTTGCTAAGTATTGACCTTGTTTATTGAACCAACCAAAATATGATTATCACTAAAATAAATTAAGGCTAAACATAAGTTTTTATGGTAGAACAAACATCATAAGCCAAAAACTAATTTAAAAAAAGTTTGTTTAACAAAGGAAGGACAGTTGTCTGATAGTGGAACACACAAGGTAATAATGTTTTAACGAACTTCTAAAGCTGAAAAATTTACTTCAAACTTCAAATAAGATTGTTGCCGCTTTTGTTGTTCCCACATGTGCTGGTTTTGGTAACACCATCTTAATGTTTTCCAAACATACCAATGAGACGTCTTCTATTTCGGGGTAAATGAAGCTGTTATTATACTCAACGGATTTTCTCAAAAATTTGACCTCGCATTCCTTATTCTTTTTACAGAAAACTTCAGCTATGTAATAAATTTTTTTCTTTTTGTCCATAAATTCTATTAAAATAAAATCGCCAACTTCTGGCTCTTTATTAAGCTTATCTAGAAGTGGTGGTGGATCGATTTCTCCTACAAAATCAATATCATCATCGGAACTTTAGGTTACAAGCATCGCCGCGTCTTCATTTTCTTCGTCTGTTGAGTCTTCATCCATTACTTTTCTTTTCACGACCTTATTCTTCTTAACACTTTTTTTTCTTCTCGCTCCATTTGTTTAGCTTCTAGGGCGATCTTTTCTGGAGTGTCCGTGGCGATAATACTTTTAGCTTTTTCTCTCTTCTTTCTCTGATTTTTTCGTTCTTCAGCTTTTGGGTATCCTTTAAATTGTTGTGGACTTACGAAAGTTTCTTTGTGATTTTGTGTAGGTGTTGTGTTTAAACTAACTGATACTGAAACTAAGGAGTCTGACATTATATTTTCTTCAATGCATCTTGATGTTGATGGTTGATTTGGATCCATAAGTCGTTGAGCTTCTTCATTGTTTTGATCCCCATTCCTATCAGTTACGCTGCTAATTGCAAAGTCGTCATCTGTAAATATGAATTTTATCGAAGGATAAATCCCAGTTTTTCGAAATCCGGATTTGATATTACGGGCGTCATCGATTTTTCAAATGCATAAGCAACACAGCCAGCGATATCAAAAATAGAAACAGGTATCCCAGGGTGCTCTAAAAGCCATGTTTGTAAGGCAGTATTGTAGAATGATTTAAACGAAAAAACACCGAGACATCTAATGATTGCAGCTTGTTGGAAGTATGTGGCGGTAAGGTCAAAATGATCACTCCATTTTCCTTGGCTAGATTTATTCCTCCTATCGTTAGATGACTCTCGTGATTGTCAAAAATTAAGAGAGAAGGGTTTTCTTTTGTGCTGGACGTATGTTTAATGAAGTGCCTTACAACGCTTGGAAACAATTCACGAGTCATCCATCCAGAATCGGAAACCAATCCCAAAGTACCATGCGGTGCTCCATAAGTCATTCGATGATTAAACTTTTTTCGTGGAAAAATCATGACTGGTGGTATTGTATTCCCGGATGTTGATATAACACAACAAGTGGTGACCAGTAAAACTCGTTCGGTGCTCGTACAGGAAGAGACCTGCTTGATCCCTCTCTGAGCAACAATCTTTTGCGGTTTTTGGACGGTTGTGGTGGCAGTTTCATCTAAATTATAAATTCTTGTACCGCTGCAAAAATTTCCATGGTTCTGAAACACTTTTTCCAAATTTTTGAAAAAAAGTCCAACATTGTGTTTGTTGAATGATGTCGCTCTCGAGAGGCTACATCCTTCCGGCTGGCGAAGACTTAATTCTGCATGTCTGGACATAAATCCAAGGAACCATTCGCGTCCAGCTTCCTTGTTTGTTTGCCAATTTTCCGGAATTTTACAATGATTAATAGTTGCCATTTCATAAGCCAGTTTTCTGATATTAATGACCGTTTGTCCGTAACACATTTTTGAGCAAGTTAATACGTAATCGGCTAGGGCTTTTTCTTGATTTTCAGAAAAGACTTTTCTACAAGCATAATTTGTAGCCATTTTAATCTCTTTGGTGGGATTCTGTTTTTGCCTTTTTACATATTCATAAACCGTTTGAAATTTTAAATTGTATCTTTCAGCTGCTTGTCTTAAAGATATCTTCTCTTCGGTGACTGCTCTAACAGCAGCTCTCATGGATTGTTCATCAAATTGCCCTTTATCGCTTTTTCGCTGACGTTCTCGAGCCATTTTTCCTGAAATATAAATTAAATTTTTACAAAAACAATTACTTTTTCAACAACACTCCAAACAAACGTTGTGTTCCACAATCAGACAGTGTCTGATTGTGGAACAAACATGCTGTCTGAAGGTGGAACACAACCTACAATACAAAATTAAATTTAACTGTGACCTTCATACATAACCTACAAAAGTAAACTTGCTTATAAAATGCCGACAAAATAGCCCAAAATCTGATGTAAATGTTGTTTTTGTAATACTAGTTTCAGAAGAAAAGTTAAAGCATATAATATCATATCAACGATAGAAAAAACTTACCTTGAAAAACGATTTTTTATTAAAAAATGCACAAAACCAAGAGAACAGCGTTCAAACTTTGTTTACCACATTGGCGTGTATAACCTCACTATCCGAACGAAAAACGTCAAACTTACGGCGGGAATTTCAAAATTCCATGCTTTGTCTGATTGTGGAACATGTCTAATTGTGGAACACTCTCCCCTACAGTTGTTTTAAATATACCTATGGTTTTCAATGCTTTATTAAATTAAATGATCGTACTTATCTTTTTTCTGCAACTTAAATGAATTCTTTTTAGTTATTAGGTATAATAATTTTAACCAGTATATTGGTGATAGTCGGGTCAACCATAGGGTTCTTATACAGCATCGAGGATGCTAATGGAGAAACTCATGTAACTAATTCTTTCGATCTTCCCGATTTGAACAAATCAGTGAGCCATTCATTTCAACAATTCAACAGCAGTAAAAACCATCAGAAGACATGGAATAACATGCAACAACGTCTCGAGTGCTGTGGAATTTCAAACTACAATGATTGGTCTTCTATAGGGTTAGATATTCCAAGTTCTTGCTGTGATAATGTAAGTATTTTTATGTAATTTAACATTTTTGGAAATTATCAAAAAATTTAAATAGCGATTACTTAAGTCTCGTTTATGCAAAAAATCGAAACTGTCGAAACGCCACTGTATTCTGTCTTGAGTTAGGTCTTCGTCCAGATTTCGAGTGCTAATCACTTTCCTAACTCCCAGGTTCCAGCTCTGTGATGGTCTTCCTTGTTTCCACTTCTCTGGGGGTTGCCAAATCATCGTTTTTTTAGGCAATCTTTCGTCCCCCATTCGGCTCACATGTCCATACCATATGAGCTGTTTTCTCTCAATATCCTCAACTATAGTGCCCTCTATACCCATTTGTTGTTTTATCACTTCATTCCGTATTCTGTCGGCTCTTGATATTCTCATCGACCTTCTGATGGCATCCATTTCCGTGGCTTCGACCTTTTTCGTATATTTCTCGGTTATTCTCCATGTCTCAGCTCCATAAAGTGGGCTAGTTTTAACCATTGTCTCATAGATGTTCCATTTTCTTTTCTTTGATATTTCTTTACTCCATAGAACTCTGTTCAAACATGCTATAGCTCTTCGTGCTTGTACAATTCGATGTTCTATTTCTCGTTCGTCTTTTCCACTACGGTCGAAGATGATGCCCAGGTATTTATATTCGTCACATGGATTTATTTTTTGATTGTCATCGATATCGAGTTGTTCTGCGTCAGCTCCAATTGAGAGGTATTTTGTCTTTTCTAAATTGATATTTAATCCCCATTTCTGGTATTCTTCAATTAGTTTTTTAAGCCTGTATTCCATGTCGTCTTTGTCATTTGAGATCACCACCTGATCATCTGTATACCCATATCGTTTAATTGTATACCCATTCCTTTGACTTTCTTTTTCCATTGTTTCATCGAAACTGTTAAGAAGAAAAAAAATTCTTAAAAATATATTTTTTGAATTATTTTGTTTCTAAAAATTTTACTACATATAAAATAATGCATTGCAAAGTTGAAAAACTGTTTTGGATTTTTGCAAATAAGATACCTACACTTTTTTGTTAATCTGTTATATTAGATTATACACTTCTGATACTTCAGCCATTTTGGGTGATTGACTCTAGGAAAATATTTTCTACCTAGATGAATAGAAAATTACTTCCACATCACACGTCTATGAATCTGATGCAACTGGACAATATTGGATGTCTATTTTTACAAATTCTGTACATTTTGAATCCAAATTAGACACATGGCGTGTTTATGTACTAAATAAACTACATATATACCAAATTTTAAGGCTCTACGTCTTGTCTATCTGGAGTTGCCTATAACTTTGGTGATCCTTAACCTATTGGCCCTACATTCGAAAGCGTTTTTACACGATCCAAGAAGAATCTATGTAACAAATTTCAAGATTCTAGGACATTTTCTTCAAGAATTATCATACATACAGATAGAATTGCAAAGTCCTGCCAATTCTTAATAACTAATACTAAAGGACAAAATGGTGACACAATGTTTTGTGAGAACGATAGAGGGTGGATGTTCTTCTATTCTGTATATCTTGATAGATGAGTATTGATTATGAATGGTAATGTTCTTCCAGGATTCTTATTGCTGTTTTGACGCTAGATCACGACAAATCTTTGTTTAATCCAACGAATTTAGGCTTCTAAATCCGTTGTATATAGAAAATAGATAATAGAAAAAGACAAAATCTAAAGACGGTAACCAACACAACATAGAATACCATTCGTTCCTTGAATATTTGTGATTTACGATCCATGGGATAGGGTAAAACTGTGGATTTATGGTCGACGGGACAGTCCCGTCATTTGTCGGTAAATCAACGCGGTTCAAAGAAAGGTGGGAAGCTGATGCGTAGCAGGTACGTACCCCTCTAACCCTTCTGACGTAGCTAGTGCCTAGTATGGTCAGTGTTGTGGTAATTTTACTATGGGGTGGTCTAACGAAGTTGGAATGTGTTGTGTTGTGTTGGAATTTTTATCATTGCATGAATTAACAAACTTACTAAAGTTTTTACCGGCAACACTGGTGGCGAAAAACAGACTAAACTAAATCCTCGATACTTGATGAGACTGCACCACGTTCGGTTGGATTCCAGCTTAAGAAAACCTTTTATTGGTCTAGATGTATTTGTTATCTGATCAAGTTCTTAAAGATCCAATCCAATTATAGGTGACTTTGGCAAGCAATTGTCCTACAATTGCAGAAAAAATTTATTGTTAATAAAATACATTTTGTATAACTTTTTTCATAATACAATACTGCTACAATAACTACTGTTGAGTGTTTCAAGCAATCTGACCCTTTCCCCATCACTGTTCATGTGATTTTGTTGATCTATTTGTAATTCTATAACTCTATTCAGTTCTATAATAGTTCACAGTTTTTTATTCTCACATTTTTATTTATCGCATTAAATTACTATTATTATTGTATCTACAATTTACCAGCATTGTAAATTGAATTAAACTTTTTTATTTTCCATTTTAGCTCAATTGTACATCAAAAGCATACTACACGAGTTCCTGTTTGGATTTAGTTAGTCGGGATCTTTGGTGGCAAGAGAATATCCTTAAGTCTCAATGCTATATTATGGCAGTTATAGAGGTTTGTAGTTTTATTTTAATTTCTATTTAATTCAGCGTTCTTTATAGTAATAATTGCACATAAAGAAAACACTTAAGTATCGTTATAACAATTTGTTGTAATGGTGAATTAAAAAGGTCTAATTATGACCTTGTGTATGATTTGTGAATTAACTACAATATATATCAAGAATGCTAAAATATAGCATTTTTCACATAAAAAGCTTGCACGTCATTCAAGATTTACATGATACTATGAATAACAAGATAGGATCTTCCTGTAGCCCAAAATCGTTCGTGTTCGCGCATGCCGTCATTGGAGAGAGGAATTTGAATTCTTGTTAAAGTTAAATGGGATTTGTATGCATTCTGTGATGAAATTACTGGACGAAAATAAGTTAAGAAGTTCAATAATTACAATAATTGTATACATAAGGATATCTCCAAACTATTTATTAAAGATTATTTATTGACACATACAAAAAACTGACATTTCGAACGTGCAACTCTCCAATGACGTCACGACTTATGCGCAATATCTTATCTTCTTATCATAGTATCATCCATGATATAAGGAAACAAGGTATGCTCACTAGTGGACTCGTTTTTGCACATTTCTGCGCCGACCAAAATCCACCATCTTTTCAATATGTCACATGTGTGTAGGGATGGTGACCTGATCCCGTACCAGTTACTTTGGAACATGTATTTTATTTATACTTGTGGTACTGATCCCTAAAACCAATATATTATAAAAAACGAGTTACGGGTCATGGCCGTATAAATAAAGATCTTCATTTATACGTCCATGGTACGGGTACTGTACTCATAGTAAGTGTAAGTGAGCATACCTGACCTGATCCACAAAAATACTTGGATCAACCACCTTTACATGCGTGACGTCTGCTTTGTTTACTTTTGCATTTTTTAACCTTACGTTGCAATGTACTGGAATTTAAATGTAAATGTGTTTTTGTTTTGTTTCGATTTTTTAAAAAATTTTTTAGCAAGAGTCTGTTCAGATCATTTTTAAATATGAATTAATTGGATTAATGTATAATATTTATTTTATTTTATTTAATTTAACTACGATATTTCGTATCAATTTTGTACATATTTGAATTGCCGCCTTCAAAATGGCGGATTTTGGTCGTAAACGTGATTGGCTGTTCAAAATAGATGCGCGTGAGCATACCATGTTTCCTTAGATCATGGTATCATCACAGAATAATAAACAATCAGAATGTCCACTCTCAGATACCGCCTTTGAAGTTTTTCAGTACGCGCGCCATGTTTTAGAAGGAAACACATAACACAGACATATGATTTGTGAGGTTATGTAATTGTTTATATTTATGTTTAATTCTATTATATGTATGTTATTATATTTAACAATGTTAATATAATTGTATAGTATATCTATGATTGCCCTAAGTCAATTAAACCGGGTTAATTTTGTCTATACACACCACATAAACAACACTGGTTCCCTCTAAAACATGGCGGAACGTCTGCGCGAAGGAGATGCGCGTACTTAATTTTCCTTAGAGAGTGGGCATTCTGATTGTTCATTATTCTGTGGTATCATGAAGATTTACGCCGTCAGAACACCACAGCGTTGCCAAAACATCAGAATAGTTAGTAAGTGACAAATTTTTAAAATGTCAACTATTTGTCAAACTATGATATTAACAGTAAATGCACTTAGTTTTAAGACTACTGCAACACATTAAAATACATAAGAAAACATTTTAATACAAAATTATATATTCTAAATTTTAAACTTACCCGTTTAGGGCTTTAATAGTAAAAACGTCCCGCCATTATTTCTTGTTCAAAATAATCTATCTTATAGTATGAAAGCTTATTAACTTTCTACAGACTATTTATTTGTTTTCGCATATCACAATCACAATTCACAACAATAATTAGTTTTTAAAGCTATTAATCTAAATTTAATATGTATTTATGAATATAATTTATTAATATATATTATATTATGATCAAATTGTGTAAGAAATCAAAACATAAACAAAATTCCTAGTCTAAAAAGCGGCAACTCTTTATACACTTTTGCCACACGCTTAACTGTCATTAAAATTTGAAGTATTTCCTTATCAGTTGCGTATAGCCATCGAGTTAGAATCTATGGAGAAGCTATTAGCATATTAACGTATGTATTAAAAACGGCATTGGTAGGAGCGGCTAACGATAATACCAATATGACATCAGGGCCAGACTCAATAATAATAAAACTACTATACAAATATGACTAGTTATTCAGAAGATTTAATCATAATCTAAAAAAGTGCAATACATTTTTAATAAACTATGATTTAGTTATCCCGCGGTAAACACTAAAAACACGATATATTATACATAAAGATAAATTAATACAGTCAAATAGTATTAATTTATTCTCTGAAGTACGGGCCATTACTTTGTTTACATATTTGTATACTAACCTGTAAAACGATATTCCTGAAGATTTTTTATTTACATTACTTCTGCTACTGCAACTACGTTGAGAACAAGAAACCATTATTATGCACTATCACAATATATTACAGTTTCTATAAAAGTATTATAAAACTGAAAATATTCGAAAAACAACAAATATAACCAAACATATACGATCTGTCAAAAGTTTCAAAACAATAATACCAATATGGCCGAAGTGGGGTCGTTTTTAGTCACGTGATGCCCTCTCCATAGATTCTAAGTCGATGCGTATAGCTCATCGAGCAAAAAGATAAAAGAGGGAATGTAAAGGTAGTGGGGACAAAAATATTGTTAGACAGGAAGTGCTATCTTGAGAGGCCACTTTAAACAAGGAAAGACAGTCTCTTTCCTTGTTTAAGAAGTCAAATTTAGTTAGGTTATGTTATTGTTTGTCCCAACTGTCACATGAAATTTTATTTATATTGAAATCTTTTACCAATTGTGTCACTTTTTAGACTATTACAGTTAATATTTAATTAAAACTTTCTCGTCTGAAAAATATTTTATAGCTATTGTTAATAAGTGTTGGAAAATTTAAATTTAGCGCCTTTGCATTTCCGGATATGTCCGCCATCAGAGGCCACTTTTTTGGAGGAGCGATTAATTACAGGGACCCGATCCGTCAACTGCGCATGTGCGAAACGACTGCATTCGAAATATTTCGAACCTTCAAATGAAAATTTTAGGCGGTATCTTGCATTGTCACATAAAAATTGTTTTGAATAGTTCCCTATTTACGTAATTAGTAACTATATCAGTGAACTGTTTTGAATGTGGTAAAATTTTCTCAAATCAGTCTAAGCTTTCTACGCCGATGCAATGTGGAGAAAATGTGCATTTAAATAAGTGTCTGGAAGATTTCCAGTAGCTTTTTTAAGCCGAAAGGACTTCTACATTAATGAAGTTTATTTTACAGAAATTATGAAAGTTGTTGGAAAAATAAAAACACTCTGTTTTATGTACGCCATTACTTCAGTTTTTTATGGAAGAGTATTGAAGAATTAAACTATTTTAAACACGTTTTAGAACGAGACAACTTTTGAAAACATCCACCTGAAGACAACGATTTTGCCAACCCATACAAGATTAACCCATTAACCGTAATATGTCATTTAAATTTAGTTCATTAATACTTTGTTTACTTTCAACAACAATAAATAAATTTAAGTTTATAATAATACGTATATAATAATTTATTATAATCCTTATCTTCACTCATAAACATGTATTAGGTACGTTATTTTAGTTATGAATGTAACAATTATGTACCTGTAGAAAGAAATATTGTAAAATTTCCTATTTTTATTCCTAATCGTTTTTTATAAACTTGCTCAGATTTTTTTAAGTTGGAGATTGTCCCTCGTTGTCACTTTTGTGGTCATTTCAAAGATTGCACATGCGCAGTTGACGGATCGGGTCCCTGTAATTAATCGCTCCTCTTTTTTGGTCTCCTTTTCCTAACGATTAGATTCCCTCTTTTATCTTTTTGCTCGATGGTATAGCTAATGGATTTTGACAAGAGATATGACATTGTAAATAACAGGTAAACTTGTGTACTAAATCGGCATGACTCATAGCTCTTGTCAAAATCAATTACCTTTACAATTATTATGTAATATATTTAATTAAAATTATTATTTTGTGGAATATTAGACTTAAAGAGCTATTTCATAAAATTTATATTATTAATAATAACAAATGTTTTTGGTTATTTCATCAATATAATTCTAAAATTTCCAATATAATGATGATTACATTTTTCTAATTATTACACCCTGTTGACGCCTATGAAAGATCGAGCAGTTCCGTATGGGTTTCGTATGCTCAGCTGTGTTAGGAAAATTTCAAAATTTGAACTCTAAGGGTGATGTTCTGGAAATTTACAATAAAAGTGACGTCACTTTGTATAAATCGTGACGTGCAAGTGTTTTACTTTGAAAAAGGGTATATACTGTAACATCTAGATTAATAATTTGTTTATTTCATTTATTTATACCATAATAAACAGTTTCCTTGGAACCCCTACAACACTATTCTTATGGTTTTCCCTACTTCGGTTTATATAATATTTGAATTCGTCTTCATTCTTTTCTTTTAATAGAGCTAAGATCATGTTTTAAAGGAACTGTTGACTTGTAACAGCAATGACGAAACAACTAACAGTATATTAATTAAAAAAAAACGATAAATCAATAAAATACCGGAAAAATATTCAAGAACTCATTTATTTCTTTTATTTGTTAATTCGAGTTATAATATTCAGGCAATTCTTCTCTCTGCTGTATATTCTTTTATTATTTATTTTTCAAATCCTTTTCTTTATTATATCTTATTCCCTTATTATGTTAATTGGTGATACTGTCTGCTATCACTCTTAAAAATGTTGTCTTCATTTTCTTACCTATTTTATTATCGTAAAATTTTAAACTACGTAAGTTATTGCCAACCTATTTGTTAACTCTTTCTTAATTATCGTTTTTTTTTTTCAGCTTGGAAAAGGGGTACTAATCCTAGGAGTTTATTTGGCTGACAAATTATCAACGCCACGCTGAGGCTTATATATAAATATTAATTTTGTAATAATATAACGGTCAAGTTTAAGGGACCGTGTGCCATTGTGATTTTTTTAAATATAGTAAAAAATATTTTTTATATAAAATAAAATTTTATTATTAAAGTTTTTTTATAAAATAGTTATTTTAATACAATGCATACCGACTGTGTGCTTTGGTAACTTCAGTAGTTGACAATATCACTGTTCTCGTAATAGGTTTTTTACTCGGATATTGCCATAAGAAGCAATCATCATGTTGTCTTACATAATTAATCTATATGTATAATATTACATATAGAAGAAACTTACATCAAGAAAAATAAATGGATGACAGACATCTTGAAATTAATGGAAAAACGTCGATTGATAAAATCTAATGTAACAGAATATAGACACCTGCGGAGAAGAATAAAAAAGGAGATCAAATTAGCCAAAGAAACATGGATGGGACAAAGGTGCGAAGAAATTAAGGATGTAATATCTAAACACGACTTATTTAATGTGCACAAAAAAAATGAGTAATATATTTAAAAAACGAGTTCCCTCTGTGTTTGTTGACAATAATAACAAAATTATTGTAAAGGAGCACGAAATAAGAAAAGAATGGCAGCTGTATATATCGAGTTGTTTGAAGATGACAGGAGTAATATTGCCGAATTCTACCAAAACTGTACTGACGGCCCAAAAATTATGAAATGCGAGGTAGAACACGCTATAAATAATTCTAAAATTAGAAAAGCTTGTGGTCCAGATGATACACCAACTGAGTTGCTGAAACTAATAATGATAACATAAAAGTAGTAGTAAGACTTTTTAATTCAATATATAACACCTAAAATACCTAATGCGAGAAAATTCTCAGAATATCGATTAATTAGCCTAATAATCCTCAGAATACTTCACAACAGAATTAGACGCAAATGCGAAGAAGATCTTGAAGATACCCAATTTGGTTTTAGAAATGCTATGGGAACCAAGGAGGTTGCACATCAACATCCTATTACAAAAATGCCGTGACCAAAGAAAAGATGTATTTGCATGTTTCGTAGACTTCGAAAAGGCATTCGATAAAGTACAGCATGTAAAATTAATGCAAATACTGAAAAATATCGGAATAGATGACAAGGATATTCATGTCATTAAAAATTTGTACTGGAATCAAACTGCTATCGTAGAAATTGGAGATAGCTACACCGATTAAATCCCCATACAACGAGGATTCAGACAAGGTTGCATTTTGTCGCCAACATTGTTCAATGTTTACTCGGACCAGTTATTTAAAAAGACATTTGAGAGACAACCATAAGGAATAAAAATCAACGGGGAACTACTTAATGTGATTTGATATCCAGACGATACAGTAATTCTATCAGATAATATTGAAGGTTTTCAAATTCTGCTTGATCGTATTCACCAGATAGGAGAGGAAATGCAAAGCTTCAATTGAGTCCAAGTTGAGAAAGTTCACAAAATGACATATTTGGGAACTGTGATAACGGACCATTTAGATCTAGACGCTAAAAGTATCGATCATATGCAGTTTGGATTAAAAAAAAACACTCAACAATAGATTAATTTAAGAATTATTAAGAATGTCAATTCAGAAGAAAACTTCTATGAACACCATCATAGTAGGTACCATAAACTTTTTTTATTGTTACTGCCATAATTTTTTTTTCTTTTTTGAAGGTGGAAATTTCTAAAAGCCGTATGAGGTTAACCCGTCCCTAGAGATAGCTGGCGTGTGTTGGATTCAGGGTAGAATGGTACGTCGAGCCCATTTCCCCATAGAAGGAAGTTCCTGCAAACGGATGCCGTTTCTTATCTAGATCTTATCTCTGTCGTTGATCCGGCTGGTGTTTCTTCTTAATGACTGCTCGGATGTAATTGTGTACACTATTCCATCCCTCCTAACTTCCCGTCATCTTTACAGTCACGGGATTCATATCAGTACCATAAACTAGGTCCCACCACAAAATGGGACTTACTTTCGACTTCTCATAAAGAAAATATCGTCCACTCTACTCGTCAATCAAAATCCTACTGACAGATATATTCGCGACAACCCCCACCCAAACCAAGTTACAATCGACGGTATAAATGACCCGTCCTTTATTCACAGCACCAGTAATTCATTAGTTAATGATCAGTATAGTAGTGTCTGGTGGATCGGGAAACTGAAACCTCGGAAACCCTAAAGAAGACTGGTTCAACCCGGAAGACTGTTAAGTTTAATATTAATACCTGTAATAGTATTAATATTATAGGTTTTACTATATTGTAGAAAGCTAGAGTCGAAGATCCATGGGCAAAAATTAAATGAAATATCTTAGCCTCAGCTAAGGAAGTTTCTATGTCGGAGGAAAAATAAATTGTTCTCAAAGTGAATCACTCCAATGTTCTACACAATATTACAAGATAATAAGAAATAAAACACATACTCTTGTAAGAATAATCAAGAATGATATCTAGGATCGTTTTGGATGGCTTTAGAACATGTCTATTTGCTACTAAATATTTGTATTTTTTTTATTAAGGATAGGATAAAAACATGGTCACTTGTTTCTTATCTAGGGACCCATCAAGACATTTTTATTAAGACAAACTAGACTAGGTCACAGGCAGGAGGTATTAACAAGTGGGGTAAAACAGAGGTTTGGATTCTAATTATATAATGTTTGTAAATACACATATTTAACCAAATATGAGCTAAATATCTATTTTCGCTTCTTAAACAAACTTGATTAAAATGTTGTATATTTCTTTCTCTTGTGCTAATAAAGTAGAGATGTAAGTTGGTAGACTTACAAAATTTTTCAGTTCTTGGTACAGCATATCTATGTGCAGTATATTTTTGACACTCTAATAAAATGTGATTTATATCGGCTAAAGGTTTTTCTGGACAGTGAGGACAACACGGAGAATCTAAGATACCAATCCGAAACAAATGCGCTGGAAAGCGACCATGACGTTTTAAACCTGATATAATTGATGACATATCTATTATAATCCCACGAATTGATGTGAGGGATGTTCGTCGGTAAAACCGGATAAAGTTTAGAGACTCCCTGATGTAGTTGAAAATAGTCATACTAGTTGTTTGTAAGATTCTGGACCGCTATATTTGTACTTTACTTATTAGCTAAATACTCTCTTCGGGTGGACAAAGGCGGTTCTTGTGCCACAGCGAGCACAATTAGGTGACGACATCATAGTTCCTAGACTTATTTTAATTGCCTTATATTTAATTCTGTCCAAGATTAATAAGTTTGTTTGATTTGCTAGTTGAGGCATAAATAGTAAATCCATAACCCATTATTGAGCGGATGTATGACTTATAAAATGTAAGGGATATTTTAACATCTGCACCCCATTTACAATTGGAAACTACACGCAGAATGGTGAGCCCTTTCAGCATGATTTTTATGTTCTACAAAATATAAGGCTTTATCAAATGTCCGAGAAAGGGAGTTAAGAATTCTTTAATGGCCTATGCTCCCTCTTATATTCTACTTAACAGTACAGCTTTATCTGTTTCAAAAGCTTGTTGAAAACATTGCTACATTGGACATACGTCGCGTCGCTCAAGAATTTACTTGTATGTTCACACAACCTTACAGGAAATATTAAAAACAAAACATATTCTATATATTTTAAAATAATCATTCATATACATCACAGTCATAATAAACAATATCTATACACTATAAACTTTTACTTATAATTAGCATATCTCTCATATATCAACAAATTACTTCGTGTTGGCTGGAAACCGCCATGTTTCCCGACTTCTATATACTTTTTATAAATGTCAATGGACGCCTCAGACACCTTGGGAGGAGACACTTGAAACACCGAGTCTGTGGACAGTTCGTGTAGCATTTTTTGATTCACAGTTATCGACTGGAAGACGTTTTTGGCGGTACCGTTGGCTTTCTTACCGATAAGAACATATCTGCAATAAAAAAAATTAATCTTAAAACATATGTTTGCAATACCGCATCTACCTCTCAAACGGTGCTGTAGTATATTTGGTAAATTGGAGTTAGGAGTAGAGTCGATATTTCTTTCACAAATTAAGACGATTTGAAGGTAAATGTTTTTTAGTGATCGCTAGTAATGTTGACTTTCTAAGATCACAGTAAGTTATTTTTTTGTAACTCAGTACGTAGAACACTGAATATGTAGGAAATCATTTCTATTGAAAATTTGTTTAATATAAAAACATATATATGCACAAAAAATTACGTGTTTCAGATACTTAGGAAATGTATCATTTCAAAATGTACTTCCATCTACCCAAGGTTCGAATTATGTCCGCACGTAATCTTTTTGTATAATAGTGCAGTATATCGGGGGCTTACAAGTATAGGTCGTGGTCTGGAACTTATGTTTCGTCATGATGCTTCGCCTACAACTGCGGCAGATATGGACCACCGATCATTTTCTTAGAGTATCTGTGATATTTGTGGACATCTGTTTTGTATTTCCTATTTATTTTCAAATAGTATCAGTGATCGATCGGAGTCAGAGAAGAATACATCAACGCTCAACTTCCACATTGCCTTTATAATGATTCCTGTAGTTCCAGAGTAAACTTCACAAAGAAATGTAAATTCTCGACAACGACCTTTAAACCCAATTAACTTATTAGACAATATTAGCTACGACTCTCATACACACCATCTTTTTTGTTTTTATTTTTATGCAAAATTAAAAATAAAGCAAACATATTAAAAATAAAAAAATATGAGAGCTAAAACAGTTTCAACGAATTCATCATCTACGAATTTGCGTGAACACAAAATACCTATACAAATAACGACAATAAAAACGGATACATACTTTTTGTACATATGGATATCTTCTGGGTTCGGTTTTTTCAGCTCAGTGCCATAAACTTCCTTCATGGATGGAAACAGTGACTTAAAAGTTATAGGTTCCGGGCTGCTCTCCTTCGAAGAAGCTGCTAATGAGTCGTTTGTGTTGGAACTTTCCTCTTCGTCCACGGTCTCTTCATCTGAACTAGAACTGCATGAAAATAACAATATAATTAGACTAAACGGCAGTAGGAGGCAAACTTAAAATAAATAAAATATTTATTTATTTCAAGTTTGCTTTGTTTTATATAATAAAACAAAGCACTTCATACTTACACAACAGACTACTTACAGAAAAAATAGTAAAACAGGATTTACCTGGTACTGGAAGCTGTTGACGAACAAGTGGAACTTTGACCAGTAAGTGATGGATTCTTCATCGGTGCAGTCTTACTGTTGCCCTCTTCTCGTCTTCTCACCGGTCGCACTCTTACAGTAAAAGGGCTGTAATTGGTGGTAAAATTAGGCATGAAATCCCTTATTGAGTTTGGAACTTTTAAGGCAAACACATCGCTAAGCATCGTCAATTCGTACGGCCTGTAGTATTCAACGAATGAGTCAATCATCTCGGCGTCCTGAGAATGGACCTGGAAATATAGGTATATAAGTAAATACTATAATATATTGGTGATAAATTATACCAAATAGTGATGATTTATCAATTTTCATTACAGTTAAGAAGAGTGCTAAGAAAGCAAAAAAAATGTAGCTGAGTACTCAGTGCATACTGTTGGTATACCGATATGGCAATTTTTCAACTACCGTATATGTTATTCAGTATAAGGAGCAAAGAAAATACTTAATTATTTGAATAGAAGTGAGAGGCAGTCACCATGTCGAAGGAGTAGGTATGCATTTTTTAAACAGAGTTGCTATATTTCTGTTACATCTTTTCTTCTAACATTTTAGTCCGATACATGAGTGTAAAGTAATATTTAAATACACTACAGTTCCTTGTAGAATGAACATTTATATTGTCCCAAAAAAACTTATAGAAAGTAGCCATGTAATTGCTATTTTCTGATCGATTCTATCAATTACTAAATTAGTTAACTAAGAACATTGATTTAATGAATTGATGTGTAGCAACAAAACATAGTTAGCATTAAGATTAAGTTAGCATTATTAAGTTAACATAAACAAAGCATAAATTTTATTTTTATAAGGAAAAACCAATTAAAAATTTATTCGAAAAGTCTCATTGTATTCAGCTGATTGGGCTGTACCCGACTACAGAGTTGAAAAAAAAATCCGAAGGTGCTAAATCTGGTGATCTAGGGAGCATTTTATTGCTCCTCGTGTAAAAATTAATCGTCCAGGGAATGTTTGTTCCAAATAATTTGTAACTTCGATGGCATTATGTGCTGGGAAACCATCCATCGAAGTTGGCTGCAAGGTTCCGAACTGCTGAAACAATCTAATGACGTAATAAATCCAGATACTTAAGCCCATTCAAATTTCTCGTAATAAAAAATGGACATTTTAAAAGTGAAACTGGAACAAACCATGAAGTGGAGATATCCATGAGTGGCTAGTATACCTGTTGAATACAAAGCACGTGGTGTTCGTGTGTATTGAGGTATAAAAAAAGCGCTTATTAAAAGCTTAAAATTTTTTATTATAAAGAAGATCTTTTCGGAATTGTATCATTCCATCATCAGTTTAATAAAAAGTTGTTAAAAAACATTGTGTGGCCACATAAAAAACATTCGATGGACATCTGGATTTAAAAAATAATCTTCATGTTATTTATTCAGGTAAATGCAATAGACACTTAAATTGTGTGATATTAAAAAATGAAACTGGGGGCATCTTATATGACCACCTGTAGTTGGTGAGGTTTTATTGACTTACATTACCTCTGATCTGTGTTGGAGTCTAGGGCTAACTCAGTTAGCCCTTAGTAATGTAAGTCAATAAAACCTCACCAACTACAGGGGGTCATATAAGATGCCCCCAGTTTCATTTTTTAATATCACACAATTTAAGAGTCTATTGCATTTACCTGAATAAATAACATGAAGATTATTTTTTAAATCCAGATGTCCATCGAATGTTTTTTATGTGGCCACACAATGTATTTTAACAACTTTTTATTAAATTGATGATGGAATGATACAATTCCGAAAAGATCTTCTTTATAAAAAAAATTTTAAGCTTTTAATAAGCGCTTTTTTTATACCTCAATACACACGAACACCACGTGCTTTGTAAAAAATGGACAAATTATATTATCGTTATAAAGTCCAGTCCACACATTTAATTTCTTTCGATATTGTGTTTTCACAGCAATAGTCAAATGTTTATTTTTTCCTAGACCAATAGCGGATGACAGATGGATTATGGCGTTTATGGATTGTGAATAAGGATTCATCGGAAAACAAAACATTTTTTAAAAAGGTTATTGTTCTCATTCGATTTCTCCATCATAGTTTCACAAAATTCCATACATTTAAAATGATCGTCTGGAAAAGTTCTTGGAGGTTTGGCACTTTACAGCAATTGTATCAATTTCGTTTTAAAATATTCCTTACTATTATTTTATTACTTATTTGTCAACTTTAAATTGTCCGCAATTTATCTACTTGAACAAGGCGTTTCTTCATCAGTTAAACAAACTTGCATTTCACGAGCTTCGCGTTCAACAGAGATTTGTTTGGATCTCAGAGATTATTCAAAGTTTTTAATAACTGATCGAACTGTTTTCTGTCGGAATTAGTCGATTTTCAAAAACAGCAATAAATAACTGTATTATTTCTACAATAGAATGGTTTCTATAACACCATTTTACCATTTGAATCTTTTCTTCTCGAAAATATATGCTTGGCATGTTAATTATTTGTTTTAAACCTTTTACCACCACAGCTAAAATCAAATAGATAGACCATAAACCTGCTGTATAGATAAGCAGTGCCTATTATTTTGAGGAGAGACCATACAAGTGAGCGACAGGCTTTATACTCGTACAGGAGGCACACCGATTATACTATTTGTCTATCTACTGAAGTGCGTTATTTATTTAGCTCATGCTGTTGTCACATATCAATTTCTGAATTCGGTGTTCTTTGTTAATTAATCAAGTAATGATATAATCGTTTAAAAAATAACAGTTGCATGATTACTTCATGTAAGTTTTGTTGGGGCAATATTGATTTTTATTCTACAATAAACTGTAGTCGATTTAAATATTATGTTACACTCATGTACCCGACTATTATTTTAGATTATTTTAGAAGGAATGATGCAACAAAAATTTGGCAACACTGTTAAAAAATTAGACTCGCTACTCCAACATGTGTGGATTGTGTCTAGCTCATATTCAAACAATTAAGTGTTATCTTTGTTCCACATACTAAATAACGTTTACGGTAGTTGAAAAATTGCCATATCGGTAGAAAGTAAAATTATAGATATCGTCAGGATGTGCAATTAATCACCAGTGTGTTTCTATTTGTTTCAGAAATTACATATATGATATTCTCTACATCTTTGACAATAAACGAAGATTTATTTATTTTTTTATAAAAGAAATTCCAAAGTACCGCACTTTACGGTAACCAATAGATGGCGGTTATGGTCAAAAATTAGTGAGATCTAAAGAATCAGATAATTAACCATCCAAATATACTAGTTACGGTGATCACAAAAAGCCGGAAACACCAAAAGGCCCAAATACAAATAATAAATAAACAAATCTGAAAGAATAAATATTTAGAAATAACAATTAAGGAAAGTACTAAGGTGCATCTAGCTTGATGTTTGTATAAGTAAAATTTGTAAGAAATCGAGATTTTTTTAAAGTTAACACTCATGTAGATGAGTACCTACCTAACATCTAAACGACTTTCTAATTATCAAAATAAGCGATCGCACTCAGTCCTTTATAGCAGTCCAATATGTCAACTACTTTGTCCTGAGTTTGCTCTGTCTATCACAGCTTTCTGTCCATCCACGATTGTAATGTCTCAAATTCCATGTCTTCCATGTTCCAATCTTCTTATTTTTTCTGATTTCCTGAGACACCCTGTATATTCGATCATTTCTATGGCGTCCATTCTCAGAATATTTTTTTTATGGCCACTTTAAACATTTTAACACTATGATTGCCGTTAGACCTAGAGATTTTCTTCGAAATATTTTAAATAATGATCCCTTTTAAGATGTCATTTATTGTCCGCTGTTCAGTTTATAGAGTCGTGAACTTCTTTTAATTTGAGATTTAGTAATATTTGTACTATAAACAGGCACTTTTCGCCTTTTTTATTTGAGTTAAAATAAAATCAAATTGTCAACTACGAGACTCTTACTGACATTTTCTTTCTACAGTTGTAACGTTTAAAACGTTACATTTTTGTTCTTATTAATTTCAAAGTACTTTCCACTATTTTCTGCTCATACTATTTGATTTTCATTGATAATAAGTTCTTTTTCCTTTGTTTGTATTCCTATATTTTATTTCAATATTTTCCTATTACAAATAAATCCGCTGATTAATTTCTTGTCCCCTCGTAGTCCTACCTTCGCTTACTTTATCGTACAAGAAACAGAAACCCCACTCCTAAATAATTTACTTCTATCAATCCGATCCGATTTAATTTCTTTTTAAAATAAACCAACAAACGAGAAGGTATTATTAAAAAAATAAGTCCTCGTGGTCAGAAACTTCCAACGGTCTGGGTAAGTTAATACTTTGCTCTTTTTACAACAACATATTTTCATACTTTAATCAAGAACACTTTTAGTTTTTCGTATAATTTTGTGTACGCTAGTACTTAAAAACTGCTTACAAATTTTATTTTCTTTTTATCTTTGCTGTAATAATAATAATTCAACATAAATCGTATTTATCCCACAACTTTGTCTTTTTCATTTTTCATTTAATAATTTATCTATTAATTACAATTATTAATTTGTGAGTTTTGGCAACATCAGAGAATTCTGGATCGGTATACAGGTCTCAGAGAGAAGAGCTTTCTGCTTGCCAGAATTCTTCTGTTGTTGGACAAAACTCGTGCCATGACGAGTTTTATAGCGGTTTTTGTTTTTCTAGCCACCTTGGTTTTTATTCAAGAGAATCTACCTTGGTTTTTATTCAAGAGAATCCACCTTGAATTTGATTCAAGAAAATCCACCTTGATTATGATATAAGAAAATTTACAGTTGACATGGATTTTTTGGGTCGAAGAATACGAAAATGGAATTGTTTTTTTTTGGAATAAGAAATCCATCTCGATTTTGAAAATCCGCATGGCTTTGGATTGGAGAGGGATCCACATGGTTTCGGCTTAGCGGCATGGTTTTTGCAGACATTGTATGGTCCGAGTTGAGAAGAGAACAGCAGGAGGATTTCTCATAGAGTAGAGCTAAGTTTCTTTATTTCTTGAGATTTTATATATAGATGCTTAATTCCCTGTTGTTAGAACCTCAATTTAATTGTTATTACATTTTGATTTATTAAAATATAAATAAATAAAGATATGTGTTAAAGAAATTATTTTATTAATAATTCCCGATTTCTCAAATTAAGTTAGTTTATGCCGAACATCACCCCTGAGGGGTTTAAATGTGCAATGGGTGAGCTATCCGTTACACAGTCTCTAAGTTTAGTCATGATTAGTGAATACGAACTAAACATTTCACATTCTCTTTTTAAATACCTATAAAACTTTGCTATTTTATTGCTAATTTTGAAATTCTAATCCGTTTCAAAGATTTCCTTTCCTTATTTTTGTACATATATATATGAATTTGTATAGAGTATATAACTATATTAACTATTCCATTTTTATATGGTGAATTTTGTGAACAACTGTTCGCTACCCGTCTTTTTTTCTCTTTGCTTGTTCCCTAAACAATCCCGCCCATTATTTCCATCAATTGAGCAACCGTGTCTTTGATATACAAAGTATATCAATCTCCTAAGACTACTTCCAGCAGCACAGTTTACTGTGTGTTGTACGAAGGAGAGAGGAATGGGATGTCGTCAGTAGTTTTGGAAGATATTGGGCAGCAAGAATGTCTATAATTGCAGTCACGTTTAATAAAACTTTTCAAGAGGTATGCTGACTGATAAAGAGTCACTACTTCACGGTAATGCCAAACCCTGTACCACCCATCTCACTTTGGACTCGATCATGTTGTCTTGATTGGACATGACTCACCAAACCACCTCCCTAACCCAGCACTCAATTAAGACCTCTTGAGCGAAGAAAGCTTTTTGAATAATGAGGGAATCATAAAAATACTGAAAAAATGGAGCTACACGACAAGATAATATAAAATGCCCAGACTTTAAAATCTATTGACCCAGCGAAAAATTGTATTTTTTTTTTGGACTGAACTTACTCCTAATATACTAAATATTACTCCTAATATAATTATTACAGTTCGGAATGTTTTCTCGCCCATTCTATACCAGATTTGGCACCATTGAAACGTTTTGACTTTTCAAAAAATCGTGTGGCAGTAAGAATGTGCCATCTTTAAAGAATTAAGGTAAATCAAAAGTTTTTGTGGTGTTTTAGTTGGTTGTTTTTGGGAACTTCACTTTTGTTTTCTTATTCACATACATACCTGAATTAGTTCTGAACAAGCCTTAGTTAGATCGTTGTACGCATACGGCAGACTCTTTAATACCCCTCCATCCCACCACATCGTCAACGGTTTCAGACTAAAAAGGATCGGTTTGTGATGGAAGTAGTAGTCGCTGGTGAAATCCCATATCTGTGGCTTGCCTTCTTCGGGTTGGAACAAGCCCAGGAAGAGGTTTATGGCGTTCTGTTTTTCTGCGTCTGAGAAGGTATTGCTGTAGTATCTGCTAAGGGTCTGCATGATGTCGTTGCCTTGGGACGTCCATGGCGCTGTCTTTCTGTAGGTTTTAATTCGGTGGACTAATTGGGAACCACCATATTGGAGAGCTAGCGTATCTCCGTGGTCTTCATACAGAGATTCCAGCATGCGCACACAGTCGGTATCGAATTCGAGGTTAGGGGTGTCCAAAATGCCTAGAGCACATAATTGGTAACCTAGAAAGACAAATTTGACAATAAAACATTAATGATACAACCAAACAAGTAACTTTTGTTTAATTAAAGTGTCCTGTGTATGTTTTTTAGACGTATATATCCAGTTGCCAACACTGTTTTTTCAGTGTTTAGTTGTGAGTTCAGAATATTTTCGAAAGAATATTCCCGAGAATATGAATGTTCTATATGGGAGTGACCTTAGTAAGAAAATCCTCGCTATCGTCGTGCATCTCTCCAATGTTTTGACAACAAACGAATGTAACCAGAGAACCACGTGCTGATTAATAGGTAAATCATAGATAATTTACATTTCCGTTCGACGTTACCCATTTCCCTAAGCTTTCAAGACATTTGAAGTTAAATCTCAAAAATCATAAAATAAAATATTCAGACTGTGTGATATGTAAAGCAGTCTTCGTAATATTATGCATCATTTAAAAAAAATACAAAACTAAAAAATGTATGAACATATTTTAACACCATCATTAAAAAGTTGCCACTTTAAAAGTTCTAGATTATTTTTGAGAAATTGATAGTAAAATAGTATACCTAAAACACACTTTCCAATAGCAAACTGAGCAGTATTGGTCCTATCCAGGCAATCTACACAATTGGTCCTAATTATCCCAGTCTGCAAGCTACCAAAATCATTCTGGTATTGCCCTACCACAGTATTTCCTTTCTGGTTATAAAACTTGGGCTTGTTATGGAAAATCCCCACTTTCATGACAGCATTCTTGGCGATTTCGGCCAGATGACCCATCACGTTGCCGTTGGCTTTGGTTTTCCTCGCCATATCGAAGTGCTGGTAGATGATCTGGTGTTCCACCGGGAGAAACTGGTTGAGATACTTTATGGCAGAGCTGAGCTCATCGCTGAGTAGGCGCTCCTGTTTTTTTCGTTCGTGTTGTTTGACTAGATTGAGTATTATTATAGGTGCACCGTACCTCTTTAGAAGTTCGTTAAAATGAGCACCTGCTGTTTCTGCAAACGGATCGTAGAAGTCTATGGTTATAGCCGGTTTGGCGACCATTTTTCCCATCTCCTGTTTCCAGTGACCTAAATAAACGTAAAACAAAATATGTGAGTAGATAGGTTATAAGAACACTTCGTTGTTTAGAAAACAATATAAAAAGAAACAATAAACTGATAACTTACCTGGAATAGAGCCCCTCATCTGTACAAAGGAAGTAAAATGACTCTTGTTAAAATACGATATACTACAGTCATGGACCATCTGCTCAGTTTCCACCTCATTGGCTACATCGCCTTGAAAATTTGCACCTCGTTTTAAAAATCTAGTACCAGCATATCTGCAGGACCTCCTAGCAATCAGTGTGACATAAATAGAGCGTCCAAATACATTTATATTAGATTGGTCGATAAAACCATGAATTATATAAAGAACCCAATCAGGATGGAGCTCAGCTTTTACCGCATCACTGGAAAATGAGAAAAATGCTAAATACTGCAGATTTCACAAGCTTAAATAAAGTCCTACCTTAGTAAATGCATATTCCATACAAACTTATTATGCGGTTGTGTTCTGACTCCGTAATTTTGAGTTTCTCCATTATCTGAGCTAGATGAGTTGGATATTATAGAAGAGGAGAGATTGTCAGTGCTCTTATCACTCAAATTAAACTCTTTTTCTTCTGGCTCACTGGTTGCTACAAATCTTTTAGGGTTTGTGAGGTTGTGTTGGAGGGTATGGGTCAGATCGTAACTATAACTAAAAAGTAAAATGGTTTTAATAAAATATGGTATTCAAAAATATAGTACGGAAGTAGAAAAAAGTTAAACAAATTATATATTTTTCTCTGTTTCCTATCATATCATATACTTTTGAAGGTTAAGTATCTTCATAACTATGGAGATTAGAAGATAAAAAAAAAGTTTACCAATGGCAAAAGTGGGATTAAAAATAAACGCACAGAAAACCAAGTATATGTATTGTACTAGATCAGGCAACCAGATACATAGACTATTAATTGATGATCTGGAACTGGAAGGTGTGGACACCTTTATCTACCTGGGCTCGCTGCTGACCAAACACAACAATGTCAGCGAAGAAATTAAAAGAAAAATAGTGCTTGCCAATAAGTGCTATTATAGCTTGAGAAAACAGATGGCCCCAAAACTACCCAGAAAAACGACTGAAGATGACCAGTGGGAAGATGATCCAGAGGAAGACCCAAACTTAGGTATCAAGATTTTCAGACATGCTCGCTAAGAGCGGTTCCAGACCCGCCGGCTGGAGGAAGAGGAGTTGAGTTTAGTCGGTAGGCGGTCTCGACACGCGGTACAGCGAGACGGACTGAATCCGACACATCAGGGACGGTCTTTTGAAGATTCTCACCTCCCAAAAAAAAAAAGGTATCAAGATACAAACTCCATCGGAGCATGGAGAAGAGTTGCCAGAGACAGGAGCAAATGGAAAATTGTTCTGAAGAAGGCTTTGGCTCATGATGAGCTGTAATGCCACTGATGATGATGATGACCAATGGCAAAAGTCTAAAGTAGTCAACTAAATAATTGTAATAAAAAACTATTAGATCTATGTCAATAGATCTATGTTAATAAAACTATGTTAATAGATCTTACCTGTAGTAAAAATTACTAGCTAAATCAATATTCTGAAACATTTTCACATAACGAGATTCATCAGAATGTACTACTCTCACAGATTCATGTGGAATGTAAACCATTGTTGTATCTTCAATCTTATATATTGTGTAATGTCCAATGAGAGCCACTCTTCTTCTTTTTGTTATTAGAATGATGTAATATCCCTCAAGAAACTTTATAAATCCTACAAGAGTATCGATATAGTAAAAAAAAATGTGAGATAGAGGAAAAGCAGTAGCAAAACAAGAAAGCAAAGGAATCTGTATATATGTATGTCTAAGAAAATAAATAATAAAATATTTCTATTAGAACTTGGGAAAAAATATAAAAATGTAAATAAAGCTAACAGAAAATATATTAACAAAATAAAAATACAACAAAAAAGCAAAGAAAACTAAAGAGTGAACACATTATTTATTTCAAAACACACAAGAGTGAAAAAGAGTGTATAAGAGTGAAAAAGAGCCTTAAGCAAATGTTAAGTGCAAAAATTTGATATGATTAATAAATGAGACATCTCTGTATTTTAAGGTACTTGTAACAAAATATAGCAATAGAGCTGCTAGCTGCTTACATTTTCCATCTCTGTTTAAATCATATATATTTAAAGCTTTTCAATGATATGTCTGTCAGACACTAAGTTAGGAAGCATACTCAAACTAGAGGAGCATACTCAAGATGTGCATACTAAAATGTTTTGTCCTTCCAATTTTAAACTTTATATTCTAAAAACTTTGTTAGTAATTATGTTGTAATGTTCACTACAGCATAAACTTAACTACGAAGTCACACCAAGATCTTTACACTGATTTTTTATTATTTGAAATCTCCATCTACATTTTGTTGTAATAACTCGATAACACTAAACATCTTAAAGTCTTTAGCAAACACTAATAATATGGAGTATTTTTGACAAGTAAATAAGAATGGCCATAGATTGCTACCCTGTGGAACTTCTAAAGTTACTGAATAGTAGTCAGACAAACGTTAATGTTCCAACTGCCTACTAAATAAGAATTTAATAATGATAATACATTTATTACGAATGTGATGTAGCAAGAAACTACAAATTTCAAAATAGTAAACTATGCAAGAAACACTTGGATGGTACCTAATAGAAAATAGGGAATCATAAATTCAAAAAATAATGTTTAAAAAATCATCTAATAATTATACTAAACAGTTATGCAGTACACTATAACAATGATAACATATCACACCCTCAGTGCAAGACTGCAGTAACTCAAAATTTTATGAAAATGAAGTAAACATGGAATTTGATTGTAAACATGCATATCTATCCCATGTAAAACTTTAGTAATTTTCAAATGCTTAACCAGCTAAATATTACAACAGTTTTTTTATTTTGCATTTTTGTACATAAGTTCCGTGCAAAACTGTTGTAATTATAATGTAACAGAGTTACAACAGTTTTGCACAGAACATTGCAATGGTTTCGATAACAAGCAATGAAGAGCATAAAAAAAGTAAGACATTTGTTATTTTAATATCCATATATGTGGTGTTTAATTTTAATATACAGCATGTATAAAACCAATTTATGTATGTAAGTTATGTCCTTTGTGTGACATTATATTTTCCATAAAATGTGTGCCATGTCGTTTGACCATTTATTTATTTGATTGGATTTAAAATACATAAATTAGGACTAATTATCTACAGCCAAAAAGTATTTTTTCTCATGAAAGGAAAAACTTTTGGAAAAAAACTTTGGTATACTTATCCCATTCGGGTATGATACCAGAAGTCCACAATAGTTTTTATCAAAATATTTTGACCCAAGATGATATACGAGAAGAGGACAACAACTAACAGAAAATGTGCATGTCTACACTTTTTACAATTTTCTCTGTGCAAAAGTGCTGTAACTTTGAAATTCCTAATTTTTTAGCATTAATATTATTTTATTTAAATTTCTATTTTTGGTTAATGTAATATAGGCTGAAAAGCATGCAAAATCATAATTAACTGTTAATTTTTCTTAAAACTTGTCTAATTTCACTGATATTAGCACGAAAATAAACAAAATCGTCTTTATCTCAAAACTTACTTATTCTGACTTACTGCAGTCTTGCACTGAGGGTGCGATATACTCACAGTCTACCATTTCCAACTTTATCTTAAGATTAAAATAACATCTACCATTGAATTACATTTGATTCATTAACTTACTTATGGATTAGGGGCACATTTTAGTTTCTTTGAACTCTATGTATTTCATTAGACAATTAATATCGTATGGTAAATTCTGTTTAGTATGTGCCAAAAAGTAAATCAACTTACCAACAATTCCAAATGCTGATATAACTTTGGAAAAACCACCTCCAGCTCTTCTATTTCCAGATTCGATCATACAAATTAAATTACGTATTTCTTCTGCTGTATATTCGACTTTATCGTCGTAAATTTCCAAGTCTTTAGCTTCAGTCCTATCAATCTTCAATACACGAAATCTTGTTTGTGTGTTGTTTGAACCAACCAAATAAAATTTCTAGAAATTAATTAATACTATAGAGTAAGTATTGGTACAATGTGTGGGTAATTGTGATATAAATTAGTAACAAATTGACATTCTAAGCACCAAATTATTTTTCTATGTTGATTTTGAAAATCAGTTTCAATTTATGCTTCAAAAAATATCTGTAGGTATAAAGAAGGGCTTACTGCTTTGGTTTCATATAGAGCCATTCTCTGAATGGAATTTATAATGGGATAAAATACTATTCCACTGTTATCCATGTTGGGGGTGTTGTTTAATAATACTTCCAAAATTTCTTTATTGTTGATATAATTAATCAATTCTGCATTTTATTTTGAATCCTGGACCAAACTTACTGCCAAAACTATAATCAAATTTCATTAAAATTAATTAAAATGTAAATAAATTATTAAGTTTATCTAAATATTGACAATTAGTTAACCTCAAATATTGTTTTTAGCTGTCACAATTGACAAGTCTAATTTCCTTCATATTTCTTATTAGGAACAGTAACGTCTTTAGCACAATGGTTAACTGGAGATTGTTTTAAATAAAATATGACCATGAATAGACAAAAATGTGTCTTTTTTGTTCCTTACGCTGTGTTATCATTATATACATACTTTTCTCAATGTAAGTTAGCTTCTCGAAATTATCTTTGTGCACAGTATCCTGTTAGGAGGGAGACAAAAAAAGTCCAGTTTTATTAGAACTATAGTTAAAAAACGTTAACACATACCAATTTGACATGGAAAGCAATTTTTCTTCTCTTTGCAATAATCAAAGTAAAATATAGGTATGCCTGAATCGCATAGGCCCATATTAGAATCTGTACTAAGACACAGTATATTACTAAAGAATTTGTTATTAGCAATATACTGTGACTAAGATAGGTAATCACTCGTCTTTGCGACTTCTAATGATGTTTCTTTTATTTATGTAAGTATTTGCTCTAATTCCAACTCTATTTGTAAATGTAACCAAAGTACCTACCTTGTTTCCTTCTACCTAGCGTTACCAGATTCCGAAAATATAGTGGCTTTCGGGGTCCAAGTTGATTTTTACATTTAACAATTCTTTGGCAAATAAACAAAATTAGCCTTAGGTACAGTGGTGCACCTAGAAATTTCCTGTGGGAGGGGGGTCTTGATTAGGCCCACCGAAAATTTTTTTATGCTACCTACCTCGATTTTGAGTTCTTAAAATTTGTGAGTAACAGTGTCAAAATAGTGCCGGAGGGCGGTTAACCCAAAAAACCCCCCCCCCATCTGGGTGTGCCACTGCTTAGGTAATAAATTGTTCTTGTTTGATCTTTAAGTTAAAGATCTGTTAGATCTTATTTCACTGTTAATTTCACCAAAATATAATTTGGTGATTAATGTTATGTATTTTAATTAAAAGACATTGGTATAATTAAGATAACTTTATTCATAAAGTTACATGTGGTTACATGGTTATGAACATGAACATGACATTGACATGCATGTCATCATTCTTCTTTTTTTAGTTGCCGCAGACAACATTCACAACATTTCTCCCCTTGTTTTTTATTAAAGATCTAGCCTGCGAGTTGGTTTTATAACTCTGCCAAACCTAGACATTTTTGGAGTATCATTATTTTTTAAAGTCACTTTTGGAGAAGCAATTATGGGTGTGTTGTTAGATTCACATATAACACTTGGTGGCACTGATATTGGTGTTAACTCACTTCTTGGGGAATCAACTGTTACGTTTTGAGGAACACTGGGAATATTGCTACACATTTCTTGTTCTGGACCACTATAATTGGCAAGATTATTACTTATATTAGGTACTATATTGGTATGTGAATAAGTTGGATCACCCATATCACTTCTTAAAGAGTCTGCATGAACAAATTTGATAAGAGATCCAACTTGTACCAAATAAGTACAATAACTTAATATTTTCATAACCTTACCCCTTTGCCAAAGCTTGGTATGCTTATTTTTTACATAAACTGGTTCATTCAATTTAAATAATTTTCTAGCTCTGACTGCATTTTGTGAACCACCTTTAGCATATTTGCTATGGCCAGAGGGTTTGATTAAGTCAAATCTGGTTCTTGGTTTTAACTTTAGAATACTTTCAGATGGTGTCATATTTGTTGATGTAGAAGGGGTGTTTCTATAAGCAAAAAGAAAACTTGATAATTTAAGCAAAATTTGTTGTTTAGTTATCTCTTCCCCTTTTACTGAAAATAAAGCCTTTTTTAAATCTTTCTTTACTATCTGTACAGCTCTTTCAGCAAAGCCATTGCTGGGTGGATGACCTGGAGGTGATTTTATTGGAGTTATACCATTTGACTGACAAAACGAAACAAATTCTACTGAATTAAAGGGTGGACCTCCATCTGAAACTAGTTCTACTGGAAGACCAAAAATTGAAAAGGTTTCCTTTAACTTTGAAATGGTTTCTGACGCAATGGTACTGTTATCCATTAATTTGACATCTAACCATTTCGATTTTTGGTCATACATGAGCAAAAATGTATGGTTAAACAACTTTAGGAAATCAATAAATATTCTATAAAAATTATGAGGTGATTCTGGCCAAGACATATGATCATTACTTCTAGTGAAATTTTGATTTTCCTGGCAGATATCACATGATGCAATAAATTTTTCTATATCATCATTTAGATTTGGCCACCAACAATATGACCTAATTAGTAATTTGGTTCGTACAATACCAGAATGTTGCTCATGAAAAACTTTTAAAATTTCAAGTCTTAACGACTGAGGAATTACAACCCTATTCCCTAACATAATACAATTCTGTTCAACTGATAATTCATTCCGGCGTTTAAAAAAAGTTTTTAAGTTATCATCCTCAACACTAATAGGCCAACCTGACAAAATAAGGTCCTTGACTTTCAGAAGTAATGAATCTTTATTAGTAGCTTTTTTAATATCATCTGCATTCAATGGTATTTCCTTAATTAAGCTAAACGAAAAAATATAGTCATCTACTTCAGTTTGTTGTTTTAAAGGTAACCGTGACAACCCGTCTGCATTGGCAATAGAGTTTCCTTTTTTGTAAATAATATCATATCTGTAACCTGACAAAGCTAATGCCCATCGAGTAATTCTAGCAGCGGCAGTTGTTGGGATATTTTTATTTTTTGCAAAAATAAATTGAAGTGGTTGATGATCTGAAATAAGGGTAAACTTACGCCCATAGAGATATTTATGAAACTTTTTGACTGCAAATATTAAAGCTAAAGCCTCCCGTTCTAAATTACTATATTTTTGTTCAGTTGGAGAGAGGGTGCTAGAGGCAAATAGTACAGGTTTTTCAATACCATCAATAATATGACTCAATACAGCTCCCACACCATAGCCACTAGAATCACATGTCACATAAATAGGTAAAGTTGGGTCATAGTGTGTCAACAGACTATCTGAGGTCAACAAGTCCTTACTGAGTCTAAAGATGTCTTCACATTCATCAGTCCATTCTTTAGAAAAATCTACATCAGGTTTGCAAATATTATACAATGGCTTTAATTTTGATGACAACATTGGAATAAACTTGATGTAATAATTTAATAACCCAAGATAAGATTTCAATTCAGTAAGGTTTGTTGGGGACGGAGCAGACTTTATTGCTTGAATTTTTTCCTCAGTAGGATGGATACCTGACGAATCAATATAATGACCTAAGAATTCGACTCTATCTTTAAAGAATTTACATTTTTTATGATTGACTTTGACATTATATTGCTCAAGTCTTTTAAGGACTTCAATCACATTTTGATAACATTCCTCTAATGATTTTCCATAACATAAAATATCATCCAAGTAACATTTTGTATTTTCCAACCCCACCAGAATATTATCCATAACAGTTTGGAAAATTCCAGGGGCTGAACTAATACCAAAAGTTAACCTATTATAGGCAAAAAGTCCCAAGTGTGTATTAATAACTAACAGTTCTTTGGACTTGTCACCTACTTCAAGCTGTTGGTATGCCCCTTTCAAATCAATGACTGAGAAATATCGATTTCCACTTAAGCAAGCATATATATCTTCGGGAAGTGGCAAAACACAATGATCTGTATCAAGAGCTGGATTCACAGTTTTTTTGAAATCAACACAAATTCTAATATGAGAACTGTCTTTTTTTGGCACAACTACTATTGGACTTGCCCAATTACTAAAATTAATTTTTTTTAATATACCCAAATCACACATTGTTTTTAATTCTGACTCTACTTTGCTTTTCAATGCAAATGGCATATCATAAGCTCTATGAAACACAGGTTTTGCTCCCTCCTTCAGATTCAATTCAACTTTAAAGTTTTTAATACAGGACTGTGACTCATCATTAAAAACATTTTGAAAATCTTTTTTTAAAGACAATACCAACTTCTCAATTTTTGAGCTTACCTCTGATATTCTGCCTGACTCACCCGGCAGCTTTTGACATATATTTGACACTGGGTGCTTACTAGACTGATTTTTAACATTTACCTGACTATCTGACTGAAACATATTAACTTCAAATGGCAACTGCTTACTAGAACTACTTGACTGACATGGTTCATACAAAGATTCATTCAACTGTGACCCAGACTGACAACACTCAGTTGAAATATCCTGTCCATCCATGAACTTATTAGTTGAATCTATCATGTTTAGACAGTCAAACGACAACTTATGTTTCCAGTCTGGGCTTAGTACATTTAGCCAATTTCGACCAAGCAATGGTATAAATTTATGACTGCTATCCAAAATTACTAATGGTAAACTTACTATTTTGTCCTTGACTTGTACAAACACATCAGTCTCCCCCAGAATCTTAACACCTTCTCCTGTTAATACTTTTAACCTATACTTAACACTGTACAACTTCAATTCTGGTAGGTATTTTTCAGAGTCTGTGATGTGCATGACAGTTCTACAAGCTCCACTGTCTATGTCAAATTTAATTCTCTTACCTTCTATGTTCAATGTTACCTGAGCTGGATTTTCATCTTGACTTTGGTTTATAGTTGCCAAAAACCCTAGAACTAGGTCATCATCACTTGTAGATGTCTCCTCTGATTCATCCAGTTTGTTGACTTTCTCACTTCTGCATGCACGACTTGTATGACCTTTTATTTTGCATTTAAAGCATTCCCACGCCTTTGCTGGACACTTTTCTGGGTCATGCTTTCGGACTCCACATCTATAACATGGCTTCACTTTTTGACTGTCTTTCTTAAACACAGTGGCACTATTTGACTTTTTTTGATTCTTAAAAGTAATTTTATCAAGACTTTCTGCCATCGTACTGACTGCACTTTCCATATTCATAGATTTTACTTGACCTTCAGCCAGTTCTATAGACAAGGCTTCATGTACTGCAACATCAAATGTTAAAT